CCCAGTTTCCCTCAGGCTCCCCCAGTTTCTCTCAGGTCCCCCCGGGTTCCCTCAGCTTCCCTCAGGTCCCCCCGGGTTCCCTCAGCTTCCCTGACGTCCCCCCGGGTTCCCTCAGCTTCCCTCAGGTCCCCCCGGGTTTCCTCAGTTTCTCTCAGGTGTCTCAGGTTTTCCTCAGGTTTCCACAGTTTCCCCCAGTTTGCCTGTTTCTGATTCCCACAGTTTCCTTCAGATTCTTCCAGTTTCCCTCAGGTTCCCTCAATTTCCCTCAGGTTCCCTCAATTTCCCTCAGGTTCCCTCAGTTTTCTCTGTTCCCCCTAGTTTCTCTCAGGTTCCCCGAGTTTTCCTCAGCTTCCTTCAGTTTCTCTGGTTCCCCAAGCTTCCCTCTGTTTCCAGTTTGCCCCAGTTTCTCTCAGCTTCTCCCACTTTCTCTCAGGTTCCCTCGGGTTCCCCCCGTTTCCCTCGGGTTCCCCCCACTTTCCCTCGGGTTCCTTCAGTTTCTCGGGTTCCTTAAGCTTCCGTCTGTTTCTTCCACTTTGCCCCAGTTTTCCTCAGGTTCCCCCAGTTTTCCCCAGGTTCCCTCAGTTTCCCCCAGTTTCCCTCAGGCTCCCCCAGTTCTCAGGTACCCCTGTTTCCCTCAGGCTCCTTTAGTTTCCCTCAGGTCCCCTCAGTGTCCCCCAGTTTTCCTCAGGTCCCCTCAGTTTCTCTGATGTTCCCCCAGTTTCAGGTTTCCCTCAAATTCCCTCAGTTTCCCCAAGTTTCCCTCAGGTTTAATCAGTTTCTCTCAGGTTTTCCTCAAGTTCACTCAGTTTCTCTTAGGTCCCCTGTTTCCCCCCAAGTTCCCCCAGTTTCCCTCAAGTCCCTTCAGTTTCTCTCAGGTTCCCCTAGATTTCCTCAGGTTCCCTCAGTTTCTCTGTTTCCCTCAGTTTCCCCCAGTTTCCCTAACGTCCCCTCAGTTTCTTTCAGGTATGTTTCCCTCAGGTCCCCTCACTTTTTCTCAGGTTCCCCCAGTTTTTCTGTTTCTCTCAGGTTTTGCCAGTTTTCCTCAGGTTCTCTCAGTTTCCCCAGTTTTCCTCAGTTTCCCCAGTTTCCTTCAGATTCTTCCAGTTTCCCTCAGTTCCCCTCAGTTTCTCTTGGGTTTCTCCAGTTTTCCTTAGGTTCCCTCAGTTTCCCCAGTTTTCCTCAGTTTCCCTCAGTTTCCCCAGTTTTCCTCAGTTTCCCCCAGTTTGCCTCTGTTTCTCTGATTCCCCCAGTTTCCTTCAGATTCTTCCAGTTTCCCTCAGTTTCTCTCAGGTTTCTCCAGTTTTCCTGAGTTCCCTCAGTCTCTCAGGTTCCCTCAATTTCCCTCAGGTTTCCTCAGCTTTCTGTTCCCCCAGTTTCTCAGGTTCCCCCATTTATCTCAGCTTCCCCCAGTTTTCCTCAGCTTCCTTCAGTTTCTCTGGTTCCCCAAGCTTCCCTCTGTTTCTTCCACTTTGCCCGTTTCTCTCAGGTTCCCCCAGTTCTCCTCAGGTTCCCCCAGTTCTCAGGTTCCCCCAGTTCTCCTCAGGTTCCCCCAGTTCTCCTCAGGTTCCCCCAGTTCTCCCCAGGTTCTCTCGGGTTTCCCCAGATTCCCCCAGTTTCCCTAAGTTCTGCTTAGTTTAATCTCAGGTTCCCCCAGTTCTCCCCAGGTTCCCCCAGTTCTCCTCAGGTTCCCCCAGTTCTCCTCAGGTTCCCCCAGTTCTCCCCAGGTTCCCCCAGTTCTCAGGTTCCCCTAGTTCTCCCCAGGTTCCCCCAGTTCTCAGGTTCCCCCAGTTCTCAGGTTCCCCTAGTTCTCCCCAGGTTCCCCCAGTTCTCCTCAGGTTCCCCCAGTTCTCAGGTTCCCCCAGTTCTCCCCAGGTTCCCCCAGTTCTCCTCAGGTTCCCCCCAGTTATCAGTTTCTCTCAGGTTTCCTCATGTTCCCTCAGGCTCTCCCGGGTTTCCTCAGTTCCTCTCACGTCCCCCCAGTTTCCCTCAGTTTTTCTCAGGTTCCCTCACGTCCCCCCAGTTTCCCTCATGTGTCCCTAATTTCAGTTTCCCCCAGTTTGCCTGTTTCTCTGATTCCCCTGGTTTCTTTCAGATTCTTCCAGTTTTCCTCAGGTTCCCTCAAGTCCCCTCAGGTCCCCCCAGTTTCTCTGATTCCCCCCGTTTCTCTCAGATTCCCCCAGTTTCCCTAAGGTTACCTCAGTTTCTCTCATGTTCTGCCATATTTCCCCGGTTCCCTCAGTGTCTCTCAGGTTTCCTGAGTTTCCCTCAGGTTTCCCCCCATTTCTGTTTCTCCCCGTTTCTGTTTCCCCCCGTTTCTCTGGTTCCCACCATTTCTGTTTCACCCCCCCATAAGTTCCCTCAGTTTCCCTCCAGTTCCCTGTTTCCCTCCAGTTCCCTCAGTTTCCCTCAGGTCCCATTAATTTTCCTCAGGTTTCATCAGGTTTTCTCAGGTTCCCCCAGTTTCCCTCAAGTTCCCTCAAGTTACCCCTTGGTTTCCCTCAGGTTCCCCCACTTTCCCCCAGGTTCCCCCACTTTTCCTCAGTTTTTCAGGTTTTCCCAGTTTCCCTTGGGTTCCCCCAGTTTCCCTTGGGTTCCCCCCAGTTTTTCCCGGGTCCCCCAGTTTCCCCCAGGTCCCCCCAGTTTCCCCCAGGTGCCCCCCGGTTTCTCTTAGGCCCCCCCAGTTTCCCTTGGGTTCCCCCCAGTTTTTCCCGGGTCCCCCCAGTTTCCCCCAGGTCCCCCCAGTTTCCCCCAGGTCCCCTCAGTTTCCCCCAGGTCCCCCCCGGTTTCTCTTAGGCCCCCCCCCGGTTTCCCTAAGGTTCTCCCACTTTCCCATAGCTTCTCCCAGGTTCCCCTTGTTTCCCTCAGTTTCCCTCATGTCCCAGTTTCTCTCAGGTTGCCCTAGTTTTCCTCAGGTTCTCAGTTTCCCTCAGGTCCCCTCAGGTTCTACTAGTTACCCCCAGTTTCCCTCAGGTTCCTTCAAGTTCCCCTTGGTTTCCCTCAGGTTCCCTCAGTCTCAGGTTCCCCCACTTTCCCTCAGGTTCCCCCAGTTTCAGGTTCCCCTAGTTTCACTCAGGTTCCCTCAGTTTCACTCAGGTTCTCCCACTTTTCCTCAGTTTCTCTCAGGTTTTCCCACTCAGGCTCCCTCGGGTTCCCCCACTTTACTCAGGTTCCCCCACTTTCCCATGGGTCCCCCAACTTTCCCATGGGTCCCCCAACTTTCCCACGGGTCCCCCACTTTCCCACAGGTCCCCCCACTTTCCCACAGGTCCCCCCACTTTCCCAAAGGTCCCCTCAGTTTCTCTTGTGTTCTGCCAGATTTCCCCAGGCTCCCCCACTTTCCCTCAGGTCACTTCACTTTCCCTCAGGTTTTCTCAAGTTCCCCCAGTTTCCCTTAGGTCTTCTCAGCTTCTCTGATTCCCCTAGTTTCACTCAGGTTCCCTCAGTTTCCCTCAGGTCTGCTCAGTTTTCCTCCAGTTCCCCGGGGTCCCCTAAGTTCTGCTTAGTTTCTCACGTTCCCCCAGTTTTCCTCAGCTTCCCCCAGTTATCAGGTTCCCCTAGTTCTCCTCAGGTTCCCCCAGTTCTCCTCAGCTTCCCCCAGTTATCAGGTTCCCCTAGTTCTCCTCAGGTTCCCCCAGTTATCAGTTTCTCTCAGGTTTCCTCAGGTTCCCTCAGTTTCCTTCAGGTCCCCCCAGTTTCAGGTCCCCCCAGTTTCACTCAGGTCTCCCCAGCTTCCCCCATTCGCCTGTTTCTCTCAGATTCCCCCAGTTTCCTTCAGATTCTTCCAGTTTTCCTCAGGTTCCCTCAGTTTCTCTCAGTTTCCTTCAGGTTCCCCTCAGTTTTCCTTAGGTTTCCTCAATTTCTCAGGTTCCCCCAGTTTCCCTCAGATCCCCTCAGTTTCAAGTCCCCCCACTTTCCCACGGGTCCCCCAACTTTCCCATGGGTCCCCTCAGGTCTCCCCAGTTTCTCTCAGGTCTCCCCAATTTCAAGTCTCCCCAGTTTCAGGTCTCCCCATTACACTCAGGCTCCCCCAGTTTTCCTTAGGTCCTCTCAGTCTCTCTCAGGTTTCCCCAATTTTCCTCAAGTTCCCTCAGTTTCCCTTAGGTTTCCTCAGTTTTCTCTGTTCCCCCCGGTTTCTCTCAGCTTCCCCCCATTTCTCTCAGCTTCCCCCCATTACTCTCAGGTTCCCCCAGTTTTCCTCAGCTTCCTTCAGTTTCTCGGGTTCCCCAAACTTCCTTCTGTTTCTTCCAGTTTGCCCCAGTTTCTCTGAGGTTCCCTCAAGTTCCTTCCATTTCTCTCTGGTTTCCCCAGCTTCCCTTAGTTTCTCTCAGGTTCCCCCAGTTTCAGGTTCCCCCAGTTTCCCTCCAGTTTCCCCAGTTTTTCTCAGGTCCCTTCAGGCTCTGCCGCTTTCCCTCAGTTTCCTTCAGGTTCTGTTAGGTGAGACTGACAGTTGGGGTCCCTGAGGTGTAGGGGGAAGTGATGAGCCCAGGGAGGTCAGTTGGAGAAACTGAAGGCCTCCCAGCCCCAGTGCTGTTCAAACTGAACAGGGTCCCCAGTAAGGGCCGGTCTGAACTGACATGCCTGTTTCTGCTGTTTCCCGCAGTCCACTCCCGCCCTGCCTGCTGGGGCGCCTAATCTCCCTCCCTTTGCCTTTCCAGCTCCCCAGAGACCATAGCAACTACAGAAGCTGAAGACATTTCCAGAAGTTCAAGCTTTCACCCTCTGCAGGTCCCCACTGAGCTGGGACCCAGGTCATCCACCCCACCCCAAATCCCAGGACAGGAAACCCTTTTCTCCTGTCCTTGTCCCCTTCATCCCTGCCCCCCAGCATCCTGCTGGCCCCAGCACCTGCAGCCAGATTTTCCTCAGTTTCCCTCAGGTTTCCACAGCTTCTCTCAGTATCTCTTAGGTTCCCTCAGTTTCTCTAAGTTTCCCCTGGTTTCCCTCAGGTTCCCTCAAGTTCCCGCTCCTGTCCACCCCAGCAGGAGGCAGGCAGCCTGGCCATGTGCCCCCCGGTCAGTGTGCCTTTCGAGGAAGAGGGCATATCCTACCTCTACGCCTCCTGGATGTATCGGCGTCAACATGGAGACCAGCTAAGCGTTTGCTTCACTTGCTTCAAGAGTGCCTTTGAGGACCTTAAAGAGATGTTGGAGTCAGAGATCTTGGAAGAAGTCAGCTGGGACCCTGAGCTGATGGAGCACACTGAGGCAGAGTCTGAGCAGGAGGGGTCCCCAGAGATGGAGCTGGGCTGGGGGCAGAGCCCAGGGCAGCTTATGCAGGTGGGCTCTGAGGCATGGGAGCCAGAGACCCTGGCATCAGCCCCAGAAGAGGTGGAAGACGAAGACCCGGACCTCGAATTTGTGCCCACTGAACTGGGGCCTCAGGACGCTGAGCCCCTGGGCCTGGCTCTTGAGGACGCTGACTGGACCCAGGGTCTTCCCTGGAGATTGGATCTGCCTCTTATCTGCTCACACTGGAAAAGCTTCTTTTCTTCATGGCAGGAGTCTTTCAAAGTGGACCTGCCCCCAGGGGAGCCCATGGTATTGGAGCTGGGTACTACCTAGGCAGTGGACCCTGCCACGGCTGAGGCCTGGTTACTGGCCTTGCAGCTTGTCTCCATGGTGGACTGCTACAATGCCATCTACCTCCAGAAGATGACCCTGAACAGGGCCCTGAGGACCCCAGGGCAGCACTGGAAATTGCTACTGGAACCTGGTGAGGGGTGGGTGGTGAGACTCTAAGATGCACCCCAAGAGCAGGACCTGCATCAGTAGAAGCTGAGCATTCTAGAAACATCCTCAACAGGACACAGGGCAGAGCTGGCCCCTGCAGACACTGCCCTGCAGAAGAGGGGATTCATCATAGTCTCTTATTCACCCCAGACCAACAGGGAGAGAGAAAAGGGGGAGTCGACCTGTAAGCTACAGTCCTCCAGCCAAGGACAGGATCCCAGCACCCCTGAGACACAGAGCAGGGGTTCTGAGGAAAGCCTGGCTGTTGCAGGAGTCTCGGCCATGGGGGAGGTGCCCTGTTTCTAGCCTCAGTCCAGGACACCAGAACTGTGAGGCTAAGGCTCATGTAGCTGCCATTGATCTGGGTATACCAGGACATCAGACTAAGAGCCAGCAATTGCTCTTCCACAACAGCGAGGGGAGCAGTTGGTAAAGGAATTATGGGGAGCAGCTTTAGGGGCTGGGAGATAGGGCCTGTTGTGGCCTCAGAGGGAAGCGTTACAAATATTCATAACCTGGAAACAAGTTCTTATCTCTTGATTGTTACATAGTTCTGGATGTGTTGGCCTGAGTGGCCGCTGTGCTGCTTGTGACATGGGGCCAGGGCACAGAACTTGTGCCTATTTCACCTTGGCCATGGGGTGGGATATTGCTTGTAAAACACGTACTCTGCAGGACACACCAGAATCTATTGTGACCTGGATGTGTTCTCGACTTTGCCAGGACAATCTAAGGGCTGGCACAAGACCCTGTCAGCAGCACTAGGGTCTCTGGTCTACAGGAAGAGCTGGTTTCAAACGTTGACCGTTGATGCAATTTAATTCCTGTTTTAAATGTTTTTAATTAAATAGTCACAGGCTTTCAGTCCAGCTCCTGTGTAAGTCCTATACCTCAGCAAGTTCTGTTGATTCCCCTTGTCCTCTCAGTATCTGGGCTAAGCCACCTTTACTGGCTCGAAATCCCACCAGGTGGTGGGAAAAGAGGACAAAAGAGGAGCAGAGGGTTCTGGTCGGCTTTCAGGCTCATCATGGAGTTTGTTTCACATTGCTTATAAAGAAATACAGGGCCAGGTGCAGGGGCTCATGCCTGTAATCCCAGCACTTTGGTATTGCTTGAGCCCAGGAATTCGAAACCAGCCTGGGCATCATGAGATTTCATCTCTACTAACAATACAAAAAGTTAGCCGGGCATGGTGGCACACACCTGTAGCCCCATCCACTCAGGAGGCTGAGGCAGGAGGGGTCCCCAGTCACAGTGAGCTACGATTGTGCCACTGCATTTTAGCCTGGGCAACAGCAAGACCCTGTCTCAAAAAATAGGCCAGGTGAGGTGGCACACGCCTGTAATCCCAGAATTTTGGGAGGCTGAGTCGGGGATCGCTTGATCTGAGGAGTTCAAGACTAACCTGGGCAACATGGTGAAACCCTATCTCTACAAAAAATACAAAAATTAACTGGGCGTGGTGCTGTGTGCCTGTAGTTCCAGCTACTTGGGAGGCTGAGGTGGGAGGATCGCCTGAGCTTGAGAGTTCAGGCTGCAGTAAGCCAAGATCAGACCACTGCGCTCCAGCCTGGGTGCCAGGGCTAGACCCTATCTCAAATACTTAAAGAAGGGCCATGTTTTGAACAATAAGAATTGTTCAAACAGAATTTAATGTAGACATGTATCCCAGAATGTTTATAATTATATTTAAAATTTTATA